ACACAAAGAGCTGCTTGTGCTGTCTGAAAGTGATTTTTTGGTGTAAAAATCTAAAGCACATTTTCCTCCCAGAGCTCATTCATTGTGCAGTGTTGAATGATTTATTTTGCTGTCCCATTCTCTTCTCACTCAGGTTCATTCCTGAGGGTCTGCAGTGTTCTTGTGGACCTGATTACTATACTCAGGCTCCAGGCTACAACAATGAGTCATACGTCATGTACATGTTCATCTGCCACTTCTGTGTCCCAGTCAGCACCATCTTCTTCACTTATGGAAGCCTTGTGTTGACAGTCAAAGCTGTAAGTCTTAACTGTACTAAACAGTATCATAGTCTACTTGGGGTGACAAGGTCTTTATACTATATACATACCGGTATCAATCCACCTATTGTTTTGGATAAAATTGACATATTGTACTAGGACAGGTATGTCCTACTAACCTTCCTGCTCTGCTGTTGAACACATCACAGGCAGCCTCACAGCAGCAGGACTCAGCATCCACTCAGAAAGCTGAGAGGGAAGTGACACGCATGTGCCTCCTGATGGTGTTGGGATTCTTGGTGGCCTGGACACCATATGCTAGCTTTGCTGCATGGATCTTCTTCAACAAGGGAGCTGCGTTCTCAGCTACAGCCATGGCCATCCCTGCCTTCTTCTCAAAGAGCTCAGCACTGTTCAATCCTATTATTTACATATTGATGAACAAACAGGTCTGTTTATTTCTGCACTATCACTGGCTCAGGAAAGATGGACCAAAGGCTACCTCTTTCTGATAAGTCACCCTTTATGAATAGTTCAATGGCTTTTTTAATGGTTAATAAATGTTTTTTTTATGCTTTATGGATCAATTACAATGAAATTAATGAATAACTGCTGTTTTATGCAACAGTTATTATCCATTAATGAGAACAACTTTTGGGTTACCAGGTTGCAAGTCAGTAATACACGTCATTAGTAAAGTAAATAAATTACATATGGTACCAACTATTTGATAAAGGGTAATAGACATGTCTGCCGTTAATAAATGATAAAGAGGTCCTCACTTTGTGATAAGTAGGACAGGAAACAGGAAAAGTTAGTGAGTCATCTGCAGTTATAAATGTTAAAAGTAATCAACTAAGTCTGCAGTTGTAATAGGTAATGGTTGTTATTAAGTTAATTTTGGTCCAAAAGCTCTGCAGCACCTTTCCAAAAGGTCAAATGATACATGAGTCTTCCTGATGAACTAAAGAGCTAAAAACACAAATCAAGTGTCCTGGAGGAGGATGAACATTAGCCACAGCATGGATTACAACTGTTGCATAAAACATTAGTAAATTATTTATTAACCATTACTAAAACCTTTATGAAGGGTGATTTATCAGATTGACAATGACAATGACTGTGTAGCCTGAAAATCTTTCATTCATCGCTGACCATCTGCAATATGACTGATACAAAACCTGTGACAGCAAACATTAATGTTTCCCTCTTTAGCACTTATAAGCAATATAAAAACATTTAATAAATAGTTTATAACACACTAGAATATAGTTTTAAGCAGATATAATTTATAAATGTCACAACTATAACACTTCTGTCAACAGTGTCAAGTGGAGGTGGCTGTATTAACAGATAATGAATGGCAATATAGTAAAAAAAAAATGGCTCATTTGAATATTAAAATTAGCTATGTGTTGATAGGTCATGATACAAATGTAACCAATTAAATTACTTATTTTGACACACATTTTTAGCCAATAAGTATTAGCCAATAAGTATTAAACTAACAAGGTAATGTGTCAAAAGGTGGAGCTTTTTTGTTATTTTCTCAAAAGGAGGACAAATGAGTGTCTGCATTAAGTCTGTGCCTGTATCTTGTGAGCAGGAGAAATGTTTCATTTTTTTTCCCCATGTCCCTTTAGGGGCTCCATAGTTAACTGATGACAAATATTCGCCATTAATAAACAACTAGAAATGTCATTAAAACTACTTACAACTACATTATACTCCCATTATAAACATTGATTGAATATTTTGTGTACTCCTTTTAAATGCCAAATATGTGAACTTTGCAAGGGGTTCCCACCATGATCAGAAATTGTTCTTTTGTCTGAAACCAGCAGTAGAAACAAACATAGTGCTCACATACTCATTGATATTAGAAACAAATTAATTAGAATTCTGAAGTTACCGTAATATTTAGTCTCTCTTTTATAACTTACCTCTGTATGTTTCCTTCCTTTTCAGTTCCGTAACGGCATGCTTTCTGCAGTTGGAATGAGCGGCATGGTTGAAGATGAGACCTCAGTATCAACCAGTAAGACAGAAGTCTCCTCTGTCTCTTGAGAATAACAACTTCCTCACAACTCTGGACATTCTCCTTCCTGACATCTTCTGGATTCTGAATGGCTGTCTTGAAATGAAACTAGCCAGATGGACATTAATCTCAACATACAGACCTATGATAGGAATTTATTGCTTCATTTGTGTGCATCTGTGATAAAAACTGGACTCCAACAGCCACAGCTGAAAGAGAATCAAGCAAAACATGTCTGGAGGTTGTATCCTTGTGTTTTCTTGTAGTCATGGTGATGGTATGTTTCAATGTGGGGTGGAGTGGGGTAAGAATCACCTGTGTATATTTATGACATGGACAGCATAGCAAATTTGTAGGCCTCTGTAATAATATTCTGTATTTCAGTCAGCCAACTCACGTTTGGAATGTTTATCAAGCAGTATTGCATATTTAGATTTTGGCATCTAGGCTCCGACCTTATCACTCTCCGCAGATATGTTTACATAGAGATATTGGGGAGTGATGCGCAAACACCTTAACCCCCAGTCAGAGCCTACAGGTGGATGCTGGGGTGGTTGTGGGGCTTACAGCGCAGCAGGCAGCAATAGCTTACAGAGCAGGAGCAGCAGCGATACGGATGCAGGGCAACATCGGCATTGACAGAGCAGAGGGAGAGCTGGGAAACTGTGCAGTTTAAATAGACCGCCAGATTGGAAGGGAGCGCTTGGTTAGTGATTATGGAATAAGGCATATCATGTGTGTAATCAGCGCAGCTCGAGTTGACCTGCCTGAACTAGCTCGCAGGCTTCACTCCGTTTATATTTTATAAACCAAAAAAAAATTATTAAATGTATGCATGAAAATGTGTGTTGGTTGTTGCTGCTTTCTCTGTTTTGTTTTTTCTTTTTTAATTTACAAAGTTTAGTTCATACTTGGTTTTAGCTGGAAACTGAAAATTTCAGATATCTTATTATGATTTTGATGTGAGCTTTTAGGTTTTTTGATATCACACTTCCTATAGAGCCTTGCATGGAGCAGTTATTTGTATTTGTTCATGAGTAACTATTACACTGAAAAAAGTGATTCTGACCCCTAGTAAATGTTACATGTAAAAATCAAGCATATTTTAATAGAAATATTTGTGTTATTTGACTCCACTTATAAAATATAAACAACATAAAATGTCAAAATTATGGCAATCGTATTTTATTCAATTAAATCTAACTCGAAAAAATTACGTTCATCCTAATTTGCCCATAACATCCTGTTTGGGGTTTGAACTTCACACAAATGCGCACACACACATACCGCCGTTTCAGGATCTTGGGGCGCCTGCCAGGTGAGGCGCACACTACTCCTCATTCCACAACTGAATTCCTACTTTGGGTAAGTCTTTAATATTCATTGATGTGTCTTAGTTTTACTTTAACCACGGTGATTTTAAATTTTTCTGATGTTTTGATCAAAACTAAAGTTGGTACAGCTATAAGCCCATTGGATGGTGCAGCTAGCCACATGTCTTTGTTTTACCTAGCTATGTTAACATGCTCCTAATACTATCCACTGTCGATGGGTTGAACACGAATAAACTCATTTTAATTTGGCTTTAATTTGGCTTGAAGTCTGGTTCTGGGCGGGCTGAAGAACAATTAAGCTTGTGTACATGCAAAATGATCTGGATATGAGTCCCACTTCAAGGCTGAACTCTCCAAGCACACCTGGACCATCTGCAAGTCCATCAAACATTCACACATCTCACAGTGTGTCCTCATTGTCTTCATCTGACTCCGACACCACCATCATTCTGTCCCATTCAGACAGTGAGCTGAGAGCACGTGCATGGCCCCATGACTTCACCATTGCTCGCTCTCCATATGATGTGGAGGTCCAGCTTCAGCGGGGAAATGAGATATTCAGAGAAACTGGCACAAGTCTGAAGATTACACCAGGGCTGAAGTCTGACATCCTAGACAAGCTGGCTGAAGACATTTTCCAGTACACAGCATATCCACAAAATCACCAGATAGATGATGTAGCAGGGGCACTCATCAAAAAATGTCCCTGTTTGCGAGAGTCGTCTGCCACTGGATACTACGGCTGGATGATTAGCCTGAAATACAAAATGGCTAATTACCAGACAAAGATGCTGAACATTTATGTCCTGAAGTGACTGTTAATGCGTTGAAAAATAAATCAAGAGATGAACACTTCCCAGACAAAAATGTAAAGAAGGCTAAAAAGGCAGAGGTCAACTACTGTCCGTCTTATCCCACTGGCGAAACAGATGAAAGTCTGGAAAATTTGAGAGTTGAACTTTTGAATGATGTCAGACAAAGAAACAGGGCATCAAATGTAAGACAGAAGATGTCAAAACTTTCTCCTACCGAAGAAAATAAGTGGTGCATGGAAGTCCAGGTGCTGGAGAGTTTAAAGTGAGGTGGCCTCCACTTTTCCATATTGATGAGGTAAATACAGGCTTGCTTCCCTCCTGTGTGCCTCTTTTCATTGTGCATTTGCACTGTGCGTTATGTTGGTATTTCTCTTAATTGATTAAAGGCAGTTGACTAAAACATGGTACACAAATGCTTATGCCATGAAAACAACCTCAGTTGATGGTGAGGTCTTGGATCACCATTACATAAATCACTAAACACAGTGCTCTTTGTCTTTTGCCACTTTCTTTTATGTGTAACAGATAAATGCTGAATTTCAGCGAATTACAACAGATCCACTTGAGACAACCTTCATGGCACAGTTGGACAGTCTTCAGCCTCAGCTCACATCAGTTTTCCAGAAGAAGGGAGTTGTCACAGGCAAGAAACTCAGCAAACATCTGCAGATCTTAGAAGAGGTAACTATGTTCATTTAATGTTGTTTAAAATTAGTAATATGTGTGCTTTGATATACTCTCTAAGTGTTTGTGAAACCCATTTTGGTTTCAGTAACAGCCTGTATTATTACTGTAAGACACATTTCCAAAGAAATGATGATGAAATGTTATAGTAGCAAAATCAGCCCTGTTTTCTCAGGTGGGGGAGTGAACATAAACTACCATACATGTCACGTATTATATAACCACACATCACTATTATTTTGTAATCAAAGGAATAAGGTTATTTACAGTATAACCAAAAGTGACCAAATATGAAAAAATATTTTTGTAATTATTCAAGTGTCTGGAAATGTTTTTAATCAGTGGAATCTCTTCACAGAGGCTACAAGTGATGTTCATTCAAAAAGAGCAGCAGTCCTCAGGGCACTTTGCCTCTACCTTGGTGAGGATGATGGACATCTTATCCATGAGTATATGGTAAGTTAGTATATTTGCTTTTTTGTCATTTCTGAATGTAATTTGTATTCTAAACCTGCTCAAGGATTCTAAAGTTGTTGCCATAGCTATGGCTTTCCACTGGGTCTTTGATATCTGACAGAGGTGTCTAGTGTGTGTGTGTTAAATAATCATTTACTGTTACAGTGCACTATAATAGATTACTTGACATGTAGTGATGATTCTAGTGCTGCTTTACCTGTTCAAGTCGCTTACAATATATGATAGATCCCAGCATGGAGTCAAAGCACAACAACTTCCTCACAACTCTGGACATTCTCCTTCCTGACATCTTCTGGATTCTGAATGGCTGTCTTGAAATGAAACTAGCCAGATGGACATTAATCTCAACATACATACCTATGATAGGAATTTATTGCTTCATTTGTGTGCATCTGTGATAAAAACTGGACTCCAACAGCCACAGCTGAAAGAGAATCAAGCAAAACATGTCTGGAGGTTGTATCCTTGTGTTTTCTTGTAGTCATGGTGATGGTATGTTTCAATGTGGGGTTGAGTGGGGTAAGAATCACCTGTGTATATTTATGACATGGACAGCATAGCAAATTTGTAGGCCTCCGTAAAAATATTCTGTATTTCAGTCAGCCAACTCACGTTTGGAATGTTTATTAAGCAGTATTGCATATTTAGATTTTGCCATCTAGGCTCCGACCTCATCACTCTCCGCAGATATGTTTACATAGAGATATTGGGGAGTGATGCGCAAACACCTTAACCCCCAGTCAGAGCCTACAGGTGGATGCTGGGGTGGTTGTGGGGCTTACAGCGCAGCAGGCAGCAATAGCTTACAGAGCAGGAGCAGCAGCGATACGGATGCAGGGCAACATCGGCATTGACAGAGCAGAGGGAGAGCTGGGAAATTGTGCAGTTTAAATAGACCGCCAGATTGGAAGGGAGCGCTTGGTTAGTGATTATGGAATAAGGCATATCATGTGTGTAATCAGAAGAAGGGAGTTGTCACAGGCAAGAAACTCACCAAACATCTGCAGATCTTAGAAGAGGTAACTATGTTCATTTAATGTTGTTTAAAATTAGTAATATGTGTGCTTTGATATACTCTCTAAGTGTTTGTGAAACCCATTTTGGTTTCAGTAACAGCCTGTATTATTACTGTAAGACACATTTCCAAAGAAATGATGATGAAATGTTATAGTAGCAAAATCAGCCCTGTTTTCTCAGGTGGGGGAGTGAACAAAAACTACCATACATGTCACGTATTATATAACCACACATCACTATTATTTTGTAATCAAAGGAATAAGGTTATTTACAGTATAACCAAAAGTGACCAAATATGAAAAAATATTTTTGTAATTATTCAAGTGTCTGGAAATGTTTTTAATCAGTGGAATCTCTTCACAGAGGCTACAAGTGATGTTCATTCAAAAAGAGCAGCAGTCCTCAGGGCACTTTGCCTCTACCTTGGTGAGGATGATGGACATCTTATCCATGAGTATATGGTAAGTTAGTATATTTGCTTTTTTGTCATTTCTGAATGTAATTTGTATTCTAAACCTGCTCAAGGATTCTAAAGTTGTTGCCATAGCTATGGCTTTCCACTGGGTCTTTGATATCTGACAGAGGTGTCTAGTGTGTGTGTGTTAAATAATCATTTACTGTTACAGTGCACTATAATAGATTACTTGACATGTAGTGATGATTCTAGTGCTGCTTTACCTGTTCAAGTCGCTTACAATATATGATAGATCCCAGCATGGAGTCAAAGCACATCACATAATACCCATAAAACAACTTGATGCACAAATGACAAAGTATTCAAATGTTTCCCTTTTCTCCTATTTAATTAAAATATGCAGGACAACAAAGGAAATGCCATCCAGACAGGCATGCAGAGGTGCACCATGGGCATTTATGTCATCAGCAATGGAGATCCTGGACATTATGATGACATTGGAATTTTTGTTGAAGGAGTGATCATCCTGGACAACATGGGATCTGAAGCCCAGGCCTGTGCAGTGATGCTTGGAGTGATCTGCGCACTGAACCTGGCCTACCCCAAAGAACTGAGACACTTACGAATTCATTCAAAAAGGTACTCATGCAGATGGATGGGGAAAAGCTCACCCCCAGGGTCCTTGGCCTAAAGAACCAAATCAGTGTTGGACTGTAGGAATCAGATGATAGTGTGTATAGTAGGACATAAATTATTTTTATATGTGGTACTTTTATTTTAATAAATGATCTGAGTACCTATATCATCCACCGCTGAACATGGTTTTCTTTTCACCTTGCTATCTCCCCTGTCATTTTTGTTCAAAATACATATGACAACACCTAAGTTTTTCTTTTTTCTTCCTTTAGATGTCTTACCCTGTAACTATAACAGGCTACAGGACAGCTGTTATAAAAACCCACTGATAAACAACTTAATACATTTGTTGGGTTTAAACCTGGGATTTAAAAAAAAAGGAAATACTTATGGATTTTATTCACAAAATAAATTCAATGTATATTGGACTTTCTATTAAAAAAGAGTTGCCGCTCAATTTGGACTCTTATTCACTCACTTGTAGATCATTACAAGCTCAATGCAGGAATCACATTGGGGAACAACAATTTAGTTTGGGTCTTGGTGCAAATTGACTACCTCTCTTTCTGTCCACAGTCCTCCGGGGAACACAGCAAAAAAATGCTGTCACGTCTGTTGCTGTATTATATTTTTCATCACATTGTCCCCTCCCTATCCTGTTACATCCCGTCCCTATTTTATATTAATACCAACATCAAAACTGTTTCTCAAGACAATTCCCACCACCGCCATGTAAGATAATTTTGTCTTCTACCTGTTTTCTTCTGCATTCAACATAAAACTATTAATGTTCACTTTTCTATGCCAATGTACATAAGGCCAACAAGACTTTCAACACTCTTATCCAACTCAGCAAGACAAAAATAGAGTTTTACCTTGTCTGTAGTTGCCCATTTTGAAAATACAGTATAAAAATGTGTTTCCACTAATGTAAGGAAAATAATTCAAACCATATGTTCTTTAATGATGTTGTGTAGATTTAATGGTGCCAAATATCTTAAACTCTGCCTCTGACAACGGGGGAAAGTCAAACTGAGCATCCACATACATTTGTTCACAGATGTTACCATTATTTACAATGATTATGAATTCACATCGTCATGACTGACACTTTTCAACATCCTTTAAAAAAAAAGAAAGAAAATGCAGTACATGAGTTTGCTCCTAGAGCTGCGTCCATCACTGGTCAAGTGGTTCAGACGTCCCTGAACTTCCCTCAATCTACATCGAGAATTACTCCAGGTCAGAAGACAGTAAAATGTCCAGGTATAGGGAAATGTCTCTATATTTAAGAGACAGAAGACACTTCTGTCTTGCTGGCAGACACCGAGGTCTCATCATCCACCATGCCACCCATTCCAACAGTGCTCAGCATGCAGTTATGGAACTGAAAAAGAGAGCAAAGATAGCAAATTCAGAAACGAGTGCATGGTTCAGGATTACATAAAGAAAAGGCAAATACTAGAAACAAGAAAACATGTTGTACTGACCTGTTTGTTAAAGAGCACATAGATAACAGGATTATAAAGTGCTGAGCTCTTTGCAAAGAAGGCGGGAAGAGCTGCTGTCATGGCAGTGAAGGAAGCTCCTTTGTTCAAGAAGATCCAACCGGTGAAAGAGGCATATGGTACCCATGCATCAGGAAGCCAAAGACCATCAAGACACACATGGTGTCACTTGCCTCTCGGCCTTCTGGGTGGATTCTGACTCCTGCTGCTGGGCTGCATCCTAAAGAGTTTGATAAAATAAAAGATAATCAGCGTAAGTTCATCCAATAAATTCTACCATGTACAGTGGTGGCGATTAGTTAGTTAGTTTATCCTATTATAGTGTAGTAGTCGGGTCCTCAGGAGCACTGCATGCCCTCAGGAAGGTACTTGTGTGAGAGAACTTCCTTCTTTCTTACTTACAAATGTGGCCATGAATCCTTCAATAGCACAGAAAGTGGGGCCAAGAATGAAGTAGCCATTAAGAGAAGAACTGATGGTGATGGTGAATCCGAAGGCGCACATGATCAGCCCAGCCACAGCCAGGTTGACCAGGATGTAGTTGAGAGGTTGACGAAGCTTCTTGTTCTGAGCTGTTACGAACAATGTCAGACCATTGATGGGAGTTCCAGTGCAGATCAGGAAGAACATGTAGAAAGCTAGGAGCTTGTAGATCCATGGATCTACCATATAATACTGCGGGTATTCAAAAGGACTTCTAACAATCCCAGTCCTGTTGGACATGGGGATGTAGAAGTTCTTGCCGTCTGTGCCATTGGGCACAATTCCTCCATCCCACGCCTGTGAGGTGGTGCAGGTCCAACCATCTGCAGCTGAACACCTCCAAGACCAAGGAGTTGATGGTGGACTGGAAGAAACCACATCTCCAACCCGTGTCCATCGAGCGGGTCGATGTGGAGGTGGTCAGGTCATATAAATATCTGGGGCTGCAGATGGATGACAAACTGGACTGGACAGCAAATATGGACACTTTACATAGGAAAGGGCAGAGCTGCTGTACTTCCTGAGAAGGCTGGGGTCCTTCAACATCTGTAAAAAACTGCTGCAGATGTTTTGCCAGTCTGTGGTGGCCAGTGTCCTCTTTTATGGTGTAGTTTGCTGGGGAGGAAGCAGCAAGAAGACTGGACAGACTGGTGAGGAGAGCTGGGTCAGTAGTGCGCACAGAGCTGGACTCTCTGGTGACAGTGGCAGAAAGAATGACCCTGGACAAACTGCTGTCCAAACTGGACAACACCCACCACCCACCACCCTCTGCACAACACCTTCACCAGGCAGAGGAGTGTGTTCAGTGGCAGACTGCTGTCCCAGTGCAGCCCCCCCAACAGACTCAAAAACTCTTTCGTCCCCCTGGCCATCAGACTGTACAAGAGCTCCTAGTCAAGGCAGGGAGGACAACAGACAATAGACAATGGACAATTTCTACCTCCATTTGCACTCCATTTGCACTCCACTCCATTGCACTGTTTACTGTTTGCACTGTTTACTGTAGCTACTGTGTAATGTTATTTTATTTTTTATTTAACTTTAAAGGCATACTATGCAGTTTTCCGGTTTTGTCAAACAGCTACCCCTAGAGTCGCTGCGGAGTACTTGTATTTAACGTTAACTGTTGTAAATACCACTCACCAGAGCCGTCTCTATATACGGCTCTGCGTCTCTGCACTCACAGCCTGATCCCCTCCCCCCTGTGTACATACAGTACATACATACATAGATAGATAGATAGATAGATAGATAGATAGATAGATAGATAGATAGATAGATAGATAGATAGCTTTATTAATCCCACAATGGGGAAATTCACTTGTCACAGCAACATTTGAGTGAAATAAATACAGAAAAAACAGGAACATTTGCATACAGCAGGTCCAAGGTCTTATTGTCTCTGGTGGTGCATGTGACAAACTGGTGGAAGGTTGGGAGTGTGGACGAGAGAGAAACCTGGTTGAAGTACCCTGTGATGATGATGAAGGCCTCCGGGTGTTTCGTTTGTAGTCCTGCAGTCACACGCTGCTTCTGCTTTCCCAGACAGAGGAATATAGACAGTGATGGCGATAACAATGGAAAGTTCCCACGGCAGATAACATGGACGTAGTCCAACGGCAACAGCTCGATGTCCAGGCTGCAGACACGCTCTTTCACACAGACGTGCCCAGGGTTACACCACCTGTTTTTTATGAGCATGCCCAGTCCCCCTCCTTTCTTCTTGCCGGTCGCGGTGGTGTCCCTGTTGGTTGAACCGTCTGGAAGCCCGGCATGGTGACGTTGGAGTCCGGTATCTGCTTGTGTAGCCACGTTTGTTTCCAATGATGACTGCAGGGATGTAGAGTTTAAACCTCCTCTTCTTCATCCTCCGTTTAACCCCCGCTCTGCAGCCTCGCTGTCTCCTCCTCAGCTCCTCCGGTATGGAGGCTCTCTCTCCAATCAGGATGCTCGGGTGCCTCAGGGCGATCATCTGGTCATGGGTGTAAACAATGCGACTCCCCGTTGCCATGGAGACCTGTGCAAACAAAAAATAAATAGTGCTCAAAAACGCCCAAAAAGTATTTAGGCGACTTGAACAAAGTAGTAAGAAAGTAAGAAAATAGTTAAAAATAGCAAAAAAACACACTGAAAACACACATGTTCTAAAGGATGGAAGCGTCGGACATCGAACAGCCATACATAGACTCCGAAGATGTCTACTGACCAGGTAACGTCTGAGTGAAAGCCTGCTAGTTTATGTTGCTGATGTATGTGACGTCGCGCCGTAAAGCAGTTTGTGATTCTCGCGAGATTTGGCGGGGCGCCACTTTTCGGACTTGCATTGCTGGTTCTGCCAGCGGTGTCCCTCTCCAGCTTTGCTATCGGGATGATTCGCTATACTACGAGTTCGTTTACCATCGAAATGACTTCGAAGCTGTTATATTAAGGTAAAAATATCGCATAGTGTGCCTTTAATGTATGTTTAATGTATGTAATATATGTTTTGTATGCTACTGGATACTTGAATTTCCCTCGGGATAAATAAAGTTATCTATCTATCTATCTATCTATCTATCTATCTATCTATCTATCTATCTTAAGTTGTTCTGTATAGTTTCTTCGCCTAAAGAACCAGTGCTGATGGACACGAGAGTCAGAGATGTGCAGTGTGACTTTTACACCTAACCACTAACCCTGGTGTCAAATTGCTAAAATTGGATTACAGGACTGTGAGGTAGTACCAAAGCTCAAACAGGTCAGTAATCAATCTTAGCACCGGATAGAGAGGATAGATCCTCCACTTTCTAGGTCCGGAGGAATTTGCTTAATCCTGATTAAAGAATAGGAATTAAGTTCAGTCAACAGCTTTTAACACATTATCTACAGTAAACACTTTTTACACAACCCCGAAATCATGATATATGTTCTGTCTTTTAAAGTTTATAATTAGTATATTATTAGCCTTATCTTTGAGAACATTGATGTATGTACTGATCTGTTTGCTTTAAATATGAATCCATTAGATACAGGAGATAATGGTGTAATTCAAACAGAGTGATGAATGATGACAGTGTGACAATCTTCCCCTCTGTTACTATTCTAGTAAAGTGTTTCCTTTAATGTGGGCAGGCAAGATACTGTTTTTCCTCACATTCTTTCCTTGATTGATAAATACATTGTGTTGAATGTTAGTGTGTCTGTTTGTTTTATTCAGGCCGGACTAGCAATCTAACACTTTAACCTTCAGTATCTGTCTCCATATGGAGGAACTGTAGGTGTCCTTATCCTAACTGGATTAACCTCAGTTTGTCACCTGTAGTGGGGCCTTCTGGGATGCAGGAAAAGCCTTACTGTCACAGGTAGGAAAGAAGATGTCTGCTATAGGCTAATCTAATTTGCTATTTTTCTTAAGCCAGACACCCACAATTTTATCTTGTAGATTTCTGCTAGTTTGTTTTTTGTTTACTAGTTTGTAAGCTTATGGGTGCTGATCTCTTTTTGTTCTTTAGTGTGAGTCAGTCATTTTCATTTTGTGTACTAGTTATTTGTCAGCACCAGTATAGCCTCTCTTTTGTTATATTTCATTGTGCAAGCACACTCTCCATAGTTAATTAAACACCTGATTAGAACTTGAACCTGTCAATTGTCTCATTCCATCTCTTCTCCAATTCCAATTGTATGTTACTGCTCTCCAAATCGAGCCGGGTCATAACACTGTTTATCCTGTTCTTAAGTGGAAAACCTATCAATTGCCATCCATTGTTTACTGGTTCACGGAGCTCTAGCAACCTCATCTCTCCTGCTCATCTCAGCTGTAGTTGGACAGATGATGAGCTTTGGATTCACCATCATCATAACTGTCATGATACGGTCATATTAATACCTCAAAATAGCACGGATTGAGCGATCCATAATAGTGACGTGTTACTCCTTTAAGTGAACAATAGTAGCGGTTTGGGAGCCAAAAGAGCTGACTCTTATTGCTGAGCTAAGCCATGATCAATGATCTGGCTCACTAAAGAAAGCTGGGATTCCCGTCACTAATCCATAGTTTCTAACAGGGACTAAAAGCCAGCTATTAGCCGTTTCATATGAATGACATAAAACAACTTAAATATACTGCAAATAACAGAAAGCCTGCTAGGCATATGGATAAACATGCTTATCTTTTGAACCTATTTATATGGTTGTACACACACTGAGAAGCTTCAGGTGCAGGTGTTGTCTTCTCACTCGTCAAATTAGCAGAAAAGTTTTGTTGATTGGACAAAAGTGCAAGGACGCACAAAATTAACGGGATTGGTTACAATTTGCCTTACACGTTGCAATCCAAACAGTGCAACTTCTTTGAGGGACTGATAAACCTAACCAACCCAACCAATGAAGGCAACAAGTACTAGCAAATCTGAGGGCAGAGCAGGATGGGTCATTCCTTCGCCATCCTAGGAAATAAATATTGCACCCTGTAGGCCTGCTCTCGCACTAGAGGTAGGAAGTGTGTAATCCTTTATGGCACTAAGTCTCACACACACCACAAACAAGGTAAACTGCTAACTGCTAACTGCTGGGTTACGGTAAGAATATCTGGGTAAGGCAGAGTTGGGCGGGTCATTCCTTCCTCAACCTAGGAAAACAAATATTGCGTACGGTTTTAGAGTGCCATTGACAGAGGCACCATTGTCCCTATTACAAGTCAGTGTAGCATCGACATGATTTTGAGATGTTATTTTTAAGTAAAACATTTGCATAATGTTGCTTTAACAGTGTAATACCCTGAAAATGGCCATTATGAGTGCTTTTATTTTCATATTTAACACAACATAAAACAAGAGTCAAATTCCTTGAATGTGTACCTGGCCAATAAAAGTCATTCTGATCCTGATATTTAAAGTACATTTAGCTGTTAATACTAATTTACTATACCCCTGAACGACATATAATAAAATAATTAAACAGATCTGAATATTTGTGATAATACTCTTACTACTTTAAAAAAAGTATATATGTTTGAGCTTAATGTAAGCTTACTTTAAGTATGAAAAGGAAAAAAAAGAACTCTGCTCTAAAATGTCCCCTGTTACTGACATTATATTGCATTATAAGATTGGTATTCCTGAGCAGCATTTTATTGTTGTTGCTGCTCAACGTGGAGCTAGTTTTAGAACAGCTGGAGACCACTGGTTTAATCTCTAACAATCTGTTTGTGTTCTATAAACCTTTCACCTCAAAATTGTAGATTAACCTGCAGTACATGAGTAAATGTACTTGGTTACTATCCACCACTAAACATAGATATTCCTCTTAGTCTCAGCTACAGGGGACGGTGAACCTCTGACTACTTTGTATGCGTTTTTGTCGAGCTGCTCGCCCCTCTGCGGCAGAAAACGGTACTTCAAAACAAAGGCAAGACATCACTACACTACACTGAAAAATAAAGTTGCCAAATGTCACCTACTTGCCAGTGATTTCGCCCGGCACCTGTTGGGAACCACCGACGAGGCGATCCACGGCGGGAGGTTGGATGATAGCGGCGGATGGAGGCAGTCACAGCCTGGGAGGAACCGCCCTTCGATGAACACAGCATGGTCCCTAACATTGTCACCAACTCATGCATCATCATTACAGTCTGCATTTCAGCAGAAATGACTCATGGCTCTTTCTAAACGGGCACCTCAGGAGCTACGATATTCTAAGTGTAACAAGTGAGACACGGACAGGCAAGAGGCAAGTCTCTCCAGTTAATTAATTAATTAACATTGGATCATTAGATGCAATTGGACATACCCTACCCCGATTGCCAAGCATTTGCCGTGGAGTCCCTGCAGACTTTATTTGAAAGTGATGGCTGCAGAATAAAATGAGCCGTCGAGCAGCAGACACTCCGTTTGACAAGCTGTTAAAAAGCTGATAAAACGCAGCGAGACGCTCCTCAGTAGGGTGTGTGCCAGCTGAGCAAAGTGCTGGATGTACACTAATACATCTATTGCACCCTCTGCATGCACATTGATATAGTGCGCCTGTATTTAATCAGTCATCATTCATTTAATAAATAAAACTTCACTCATTCTTTCCTGCAACGCTGAATAAATAATTTAAACAATTTAAAAAGACAAATTATTTCTTCCAAAATATTTTCTAACAAAATAATTTGTTTCTATCACTATGAGAATTTAAACACCCCATAGACAGAGACAAAGTCTCACAAGAAAGGGGTATATATTATAATGCAACACTTTGTTGTATTATTATGTTTTATTATTTTCATTATTACTTATTTCTTTCCAAACATATAACATATAGATGAATAATCCTTTTTATTATAAAGAAACAGATAAACATGTGACGAAGGTCACTAAACCTCACTTCCTTAAAGTCAATTATCAATCAGACTTGAGCTGTCCGCTTCCTCACAATCCCCTAGTAATCTAATTTTGCCAATTTAAGGATTATCTCGGGATGGTATAAAACAGCACCCACGACATCATAAGATGCCTACATGGGGTTAGCTTACACCACTACTAGTTTACCTCTCACACTATCGGCACCGTCCATTGATTGAAGCTCCAGCAAAGTAGGCAACTGAAGATGGCGTGGGAAGGAGGAATTGTGCCCAATGGCACAGAAGGCAGGAACTTCTACATCCCCATGTCCAACAGGACTGGGATTGTTAGAAGTCCTTTTGAATACCCACAGTATTATATGGTAGATCCATGGGTCTACAAGCTTCTAGCTTTCTACATGTTCTTCCTGATCTGCACTGGAACTCCCATCAATGGTCTGACATTGTTCGTAACAGCTCAGAACAAGAAGCTTCGTCAACCTCTCAACTACATCCTGGTCAACCTGGCTGTGGCTGGGCTGATCATGTGCGCCTTCGGATTCACCATCACCATCACATCTGCTCTTAACGGCTACTTCATTCTTGGCCCCACTTTCTGTGCTATTGAGGGATTCATGGCTACACTTGGAGGTAAGAAAGAAGGAAGTTCTCTCTTCAGTGTGTCTCTTAAATGTGTGTGGAAAAACCCATTGCACATTATGAACTAATATCTTCTCTTACCTTTCTCTGTGCAGGTGAAGTCGCTCTCTGGTCACTGGTCGTCCTGGCTGTTGAGAGATACATCGTCGTCTGCAAACCCATGGGAAGCTTCAAGTTCAGTGGAACTCATGCTGCTGCTGGAGTTATTTTCACCTGGATCATGGCTTTTGCATGTGCTGCCCCCCCTCTTTTTGGCTGGTCCAGGTAATTCACCCATTCTTTTAAATCCCACATTTTAGGCCATATGAATTTCTGTTTTAAACTGGTCAGGGAAGATTAACAGTATATCACCACTCAAACACACCATTCTGATTTTCTCACATAATGATGCAGAGGGTAAATGGCTGATTTAAATAAACACTGAAAAATGAAGAATTAACCTTCTTTAACCTCACACAGGTACCTTCCTGAGGGCATGCAGTGCTCCTGCGGACCCGACTACTACACTCTGGCTGCAGGCTTTAACAATGAATCATACGTCATCTACATGTTTGTCGTCCACTTCTTCGTTCCCGTCTTCATCATTTTCTTCACTTACGGAAGCCTTGTGCTCACTGTCAAAGCTGTAAGTGAAGTTTTAGTTGTTCTTTGCCCTGTGTATCATTAATAACAGGATAAACTAACTAATCGCCACCACTGCACATGGTAGAATTTATTGGATGAACTGATGCTGATTATATCTTTTACTTTATCAAACTCTTTAGGCTGCAGCCCAGCAGCAGGAGTCAGAATCCACCCAGAAGGCTGAGAGGGAAGTGACACGTATGTGTGTCTTGATGGTCTTTGGCTTCCTGGTAGCATGGGTACCATATGCCTCTTTCGCTGGTTGGATCTTCCTGAACAAAGGAGCTGCCTTCACTGCCATGACAGCAGCTCTTCCCGCCTTCTTTGCAAAGAGCTCGGCACTTTATAATCCTGTTATCTATGTGCTCTTTAACAAACAGGTCAGTACAACATGTTTTTTTGTTTCTAGTATTTGCCTTTTATTTTTACAATCCTGAACCATGCACTTATTTCTGAATTTGCTATCTTTGCTCTCTTTTTTAGTTCCGTAACTGCATGCTGAGCACTGTTGGAATGGGTGGCATGGTGGATGATGAGACCTCAGTTTCTGCCAGCAAGACAGAAGTCTCCTCTGTCGCCTAATCACGATAACATCTTCATTTCTGTGGACATTTTCTGTATTTGCTTCCAGATCTTAAAAAAAAAAAGATCTAGAGAAAATATAAGAATGGAACTTTTGCCAAATGGATTTTTGGATTTGCTAAATGGACTTTGGACCGAAAACACGGAGGAACTCACCTGTTAATATTTATATATAAAGAAATGCATATGCTGTGTGCATCTGTGTGTCTGTGTGTGTGCAAGAGTATTTGAGTGAGTGAGTGAGTGTGAATGAGCTGTGGATCACTGTACAGCATTTGATGGCTCAAAAACACCTAAATTCTCAAGTCAAACTAACACTTTCTGCTGTGATGTGTAATCACACGTAGGGTATTTTCATGTATCATGTTTTACTGGTCCACCAGTGTTATTGTTTGCATGTATTTTATGAAAAAGGAAAAAAAAATATTTATGAAGTAGATAATAAAATTGCATTCATGAAAAGAAATGTACTGATGTGTTCATTTAACTCAAAACATTTGATTAATCAATCATGATGATCAGTGTGGTTGTCCATGCAGGCCAAGTCAGTTTAGTTTTATGTTTAAATGACCTGTAAAGGGCTTTAATCTGTATGACATCCACTGTCCTGCCCTCAAGTGGAGCAACTGAAGAGTGATCACTTTTCCTCTGCGAAGGTCATATTGCCTTTCGGAAGACAAGATTTGAAATTCAGGCTCTCCTCATAACATTTACATAATGCCAGTGGTGGAGAAAGGTATTTAGTGTAAATAGTAAATAGAAAGAGCATAAAAAGTTGCAGTGTGTCTGTCAACAGTTTTTAGCAGACATGGTTGTATAATCCTGCTGTAATCCTCACTGTAATCCTCTGTGAGTGTCTATAAGAACCAACAGTATTCCAGGACCTGCTGGTCAACCAGTTAGTTGTACTAGATTTACTGCAATTGTTTTTACAGTAATTGTCAAGCAATTGTAAGTTAAAAGCAACAGAGAATTCCTGACATATAAAAAAAGGCAAGAGAGATTGCAGACCCACTCTTGGAAAGCTTGAACACTAAACTGAAATGGAAAAACAAATTAAATAGTGATGCATTTCTTACATCTTGTGGCTGCAAATTGATGTCACAGTAATAAAAAAAGCTATTAAAGTCACAAGACACTGAATTAGTAAAATAAATATTCTTATACAGCATCTAACCCAGGGATTGATTATACCAACCTGTCTACAATTAGAATAATATCTTTAGGTAAAGGTATGATTTTATATCTAGAGGTTCCTCTAGTACCTTTTGAATATATGACATATTTAGATTAACAGAACTACATATCTTGTGTCCTGGATGACTAAGAACTTTTACACACAATATGACTTATGGTATTTAATTCATAATAACAGGGGGAAAAAAACAAGTCTGAGAGAGTAAGAGAATTTCCTCATACTTGCAAATGTAAAACAGATTTTTTTCAAATGTTGATAAATGGTGAAAAGAGTAAGCTATTTCATATTTAAGTTTGGCAATAAACACGCCTCCACAAATCACATATAGTTTTCAGGATTGTATGTATTATAATAATGTGAAAATAAAAAATCTGTCTTGCAGTTGAGATTTTCATTTAAAAGAGAATCTTGTGATTAAAATGTTCGGTCTCGTCTCAGAGAGAGAATGAGTGAAGAAGGCAGGCTCATGTGGCTACAGCTAAATGCGCTGACTAGATAGAAAGACATAATTAACACTATTTATCTTGTTGCATCTGCTGTGGGAACCCTGACAAGCTCATGTGTGCTATATTTCTGGTGTGATTTTGTACCACCCCCTTGAGGCCAATGTCATTACATCAACATAAACATCACATCTGCAGTGCAGCATACCATATGATGTGGTTTCAGACAATAAATACATAATTGATTTAAGGATGAATTTTGGTCTGGTGGAATAAACGAGACCAAACGTGTAAAATAAAGAAAACAAAAGTTGAAACTGAAATAATAATAAAACATTTTTTTAAACAAGCTAGACTGGAGTGGAGAGCTTTCATATTATAAAACAGACAGATGATGCCCCCTGCAGGTGTTTACAAAGAAATGGCAAAAGTCTTTGCACCAGTACAGTGTATGTTCCACATTGAGCCTTCCCCTTGTAAATAAAAGTCACAGCTGCTTCATGTTCTACTGGTGGGACATAGACATACCAACAATAAATGTTACACACCAGTAACATGTAATAGCTCAAAGGGGATTAATTACATATAAATACACCCTTGTCCCATACCCCATAGGCCATCTATCTCATGATGTAGCCCTTTATTTCCTGCTGATAACCTGACCCTAATTGTCATGCTGTAGGCACATACACTGCAATTTTCTTCAAAGAGCCTGCTCTGGACACCTGCATGTGCTTAGTGTCTCTGTCAGGGGGGCGGCAGAGACAAACGTCGCCTCCCTTTGTTCTAATTGCTCGGATCAGAGGGGAGGAGCAGCATATGGAGGTCTTAATAACAAACTTGGGGATGCATTGGGTATATTTCCAGGCAAATGTTCACTGTGAGGAAGCCTGGAAGGAGACACTAGTAGCTTTGGTGGCTGAGGCAAGCAAAGCATAGACTTCCATAAGCTTTATTGATGAGATAATGTGTGAGCTCTAAGATAATTTCATATTATTATTGTCAATATTATAACACAATCACTACAATCATATTCATATAAACATAAGGGCCACAATGGAAATAAGTGATTTCTTGTGTGGTCCTTGGAACTTTCTTAGATCTGATATCTGATATATATAAGCTATAATATTTAGTAACACCTATAGTTCTAGTGCCAGGCATAACATTTCAGGAATTGTTAAAATACAGAGTCAAATCAGTTTGATTACATGGCATCTGAGCGATCCTTCTGCTGGCTGTATGCTGTACATATTTTAAAGCCCCTGGAGGCAAATTGTGATATTGGACTGATTTAACTTAATTACACAGCTGTCTGATATCAGCTTGCAACAGAAAACTTCTAAACAGCAGGTGATATTGAGAGTAGCACAAATATGGCATTGAATTCCACTTTTATAGCTCCAATCACAAATTTGCCCTCCTCAGAGAGGTTTACAATCTCTACAAAAAATAACAAAATACAGAAAAACTCTGCAGTGGGGATAAAAGGAGAAAAAAACTCAGGAAGAAAAACAGGACAGGGATCCAATAGAGGGATGCAATATGTGTCATATGGAAAGAAGTGAAAGAAGCAATGGGTGAAGTGCCCCTATATGACCAATAGAAGGTTTATTGACAATCGTTATCACTAAGGGTTATGACGAAAGTAATTGCTTTGCTTGTGGTGATTGAAAATAATTTCCCTAAATTAACAAATTGTGTAATTGTCAACCACACATTTAAACACTACATCTTTAATTTACACATAATTTATTATTAGATTTAATAGAAGTAGTTCTCTACCAGAATTCCTAATTAATTCATCCAAGGAAAATCAAGTTATTATGTCAGCAGATTTCAAACTTTACTCTCTGTATGATGGCGAGGTAAGAGGGTTTGGGTATTAGTATTATGTTAACTGTTTTAGGATGAAACAGACACCCTGAGAGATTATCCTTCTGGCCTTTACAGTTGAGATAATCCTGATACACAGTGTGAAACATGCTTTAATGTCTACGCTGGTGTCTCCACAAGAGTCAATATTCATTACTGATGGCTTCACGTTTATTTCTCACAATTTCCTCACTTTCTCTCATTTGCTCTATTCCCTTTTCCATGAAAATTGAAGAGGCTGACAGCTCTCGCCATATATGAAAAACCATGGTTACAACAGCTCAACAGTGGATATGCTCACTTTGATGTTACTGAAAACCTGAGTATCACTGAAGACGTCTGCAGAGCACTTCGAGTATAACACAAACTAAATTTACTACCTGATATGAACTCAATATCACAAGTTACTGTATGCATTTTGAACAGTATATTATGAATTATTTAGACATTATCTTCCTTTGTGAAATAATAGTTTTAATAATCAGTATAGTGCAGAAGACTGTGACAATGAAAGTATATAGTGAGGTGGATTATATAACATGAGCACTTCAACACATTCCACACTATACATCTTAGTTTGTTCAGTTCAACATATTCTTTTAAAGCAGAATTATTCAGGTTTCACACAAATATAATAAAATGTGGCATGTATTTACACACAAGTACACATAAAATTATTTAAAAGTGATAACATATTTAAAGTTGCACTGGAACTACATTCATTATCCATTTAAAATCAATTTTCATTTATAAAAAGAAAGGACAAACAGAGACAATAGAGCACCACATTGATTAGAATATCAGGAAATCTATCAGTAATGACAAAAGGAATAAAGGATACAAACATTAAATATTTATAGAGACACTAGAGAGACTCTAGGACATTGGTTATGTATATTTATGAACTGACACTGCACATTTTCCATCAAACATACTCTATAGGGCAAAATGTGTACCATAATGTATACTGCACATTACATTAAGTGGCTTCTTCTTCTTCAAAAAAAGTTTTCAATGTACAGGTAAAAACAAACAAAAAATGGCCACGATAAAAAAGAAATTCACACAGAGACAAGGTGGATTCGCCCAAGTTCTCAAAAAACTCTGAGCTCCAAAACTATTTGCTTGTAAAATCATTATCAATATCTTCCATGTAGTACTTTACTAATTACTTTGTAAATGTAATCTAAATATATGGAAAATGTAATGTCGCTGAGCTAAAGTTTTAAAGGCTCTATTTTAAGCTGCTGCTGATAAAGGTATACTGCAAGAAGATCAGTTATCATCTCTCTGGCTTTATGTAATTTATTTTGTTTGTTGCTGGTTATTTTATGTTGCATGAATACTAAATTGTTTTACCTAATTATAATTATTACATTTGAACACTAGTTTGTCATGATATTTTAGCTTTTGTCCTTGTGATGATTCATATCCTCATCAATGACTGGGACATGATGTCTAATGGCAAGGCTGCACTGGAGTAACACCAATATTCAATCATCCCTCTTATAATTTTGTCTTCAGCTTTTATTGTTTTAATTGCATTGAGCACTCTCAAATAATTTCTAAGATGTACAGAGAAAAAAGCATGCAGCAATACCTGATTATTGACAAAAGTCAGCTTGCAAAATAGATAATACAAACAAAAAATCAAAACATTGCAGATTACCACTTTAGGAGTATTAAGTAATGACTTCTAATTTCTTAATTTCAAGTTGCAACTGGTCTACATCAATTTATCCAGAGGGAAGAAAACAAAATTATTTGTAACATTATGAACACCATTAGTGTTTTCATTTTATCTGAAGTTAATAATCATGTATTCATAAAGTGAAAATGTTTATTGGTTCATGTACAGCATAAAATCACATCTCATTGACAAATATCATTGGCCCTTGAGAAGCCACTGTATTCTCACTCTCATAAATGACCGGTTTGCCAAGATATGCATGTGGTAAACTCAGGCTTACTTGTGTTTGGTTGAAGCTACCTTGTCTGTGGACCTGCTGACCAAAATCCCCCTTAGACTGATTGAAACTGTCTTGTCTGGAGGGCTGTGGACCAAAACTCTCCTCTGGCTGGTCGAAGCTGCTCTCACTGTAGAGCCGTTGTCGCATTTCACTGGAACGTTTCCCAGAAGCACTCCTTGTTGGATATCTCTGACCTGTCTTGTACCAGCCTGTCTCTTTGAAGACAAACCAGATATTTCCAACCCAGAGGACAACGTTTACAAAACCAAAAACCTGGAAAGATAGAAGAAGGGACAGGAGTAAATCACTTGTACTGTGTGTGTGCTTCATTTGCCAACTCAGTACCTACCACAGATGTATTGAGACGTGACCAGAAAGGCGCCTGGATAGCTATACATTTGTTCTCCTGAGCTCTGCAGGCTGTGATAAGCAGAAGAACCTGTGTTGGGTTTGTGGCAGTCTTGATATCAGAAAGAGTTTTGGCCCAACAGCAACTGCTGACCAGCCACATAAAGGAGAAGATGACTGTAACAAGAAAATCCTGCTCAGGACAAAAGAGGAGGGAAACATGATGGGAGGACGTCACACACAGGAAAAATCAGTCAGTTTAATATGTTTCATGTCATACAAATACAAATATTATCACACTATATTGTATCCAATTCATCTTAGGACACTGAGTGTTTGTGATCGCATAAACTGACCACAAATGGGCCCCTGTTGTTCTTCAGGTACTTGTTCTGGTAGAAGACATAGACAATGGTTGCCAGCAGAGAGTAGAGGAAAGCAAGAACACCCACAGTCAGGAAAAACTGAGCAGCTGAGGAACAGTCCCCATCAAGGAAAAGTATCTCTTCTCTCTTTGCGTCACACAAGGGAGCCTTGAAATGCACTTCTTGTAATCTACAAGACAAAAAGAGGAAAAAAGCAGTATATGTGAAAGATTCAGCCAGTAGAAAACATGTCATTTGAGTCTGGGAGCACTTTCATTAGCTGGCAAAAAAAAAGGATCAAGCTCAGAAAAACTTAGATATACAGCTGAGAAACCTTGTGTTACTTTATTGAATATTAAATTTGGGTGTTTTCTTTCCTGTCAGACTTCTGTGACTTTGGTGTTGCTCACAAATGGATAAATTCTACTAGCAACTTGTCTATGTGACAAAAGGAAACAACATCTGGAATATGATCAGTTTCCAAATTCACTTGTGGCAAAGGGACAAATTGTCACCATGTAATTTTTTCCTAGACACACAAAGAGAACAAGTCATCGTAGGATTTCCGGGATCAGTTTGTTATCATTTCATCAAATATAAATCATAAAGTCCTTGGGGATATAATGCATGGAGTCTTATAAATATTTTGTTGCAGTCTTAGATCATTTCCAATGTGCTGTATGACGTAAGGCAGTTACTGTGTCACTGTGACAATAGTGACTTAATTGTAGGTATGGGGAGGGTCTGGTCATCATGGGTTGGGGTGGGGCACAGTTTTCGTCTGCTTGTTATGAACAATAAAGAATTGACCACAAAAAGTAACAACACACCATTGTTGTTGGGCACACTGTGGCAAAGGTATCAACAATTTAATTATGCTGCTATCATTGTTATAAAACAAGGACACTGCAAGACATATATTTAGCTGCATCTAAAAATATTTCAATTGTTAGTCATTGTCTTATTTTGTTAGGAATCAATATGCAAAATATGCACACACACACACACACACACACACACACACACACACACACACACACACACACACACACACACACACACACACACCAGATGCCAAGTCCAGAAACTGTAACTCTAACCATGAAAGTTACCTTTAATATGTCTACTTTATTACATTACAAATGTCACAAGAACTGACAAATACAAACATTCTGTTAGAAGCAATTTGGGACAATGTACTATTTATACATGACTAGAGAGAGTCCCACTGAACTAACACATAGACGCCAGTGTCAAGTCGGCTGAACTGTTAATTAGACACTTGGCCATCACTGACACACTGAAGCATGTTAGGGAGTTTGGGGGTGGTCGAATCACACTGCTGCACCACAATACCAGAGAGATCACCACCACATGCACATCCACATACACCACTCATCATCCAAATTAAATGTGATTCATCAGTGTATTAAGACATGTGGAAGTCATTCAGTTAAACAAGGATGTTATTTAGCTTTACAACATGTGTAGAATTGAAAGGTAACCAAACATACTATGCAGTCTCACATACACCTTCATGGTAGTTTATCACTGTTCTGTATTAATGAGTACCTTCTTCACTCAAAATAGCAACAAGACTGACAAATATAGAATCACTCTTTTCTTATCCTCCCAGCATCTCAGTAATGTTTATACAGTACGAAGTCCCATATTGGTCCCGAGGTCTGCAGGAGTCAAAATGAAACAGAGACAATTTTCCATTGCTCATCAGCTCATCAGTTACATCAAGTTGCAGGTACATGCTGCAAAGAAAGATGGAGTGATAAAGTGCTGTAACATCACAAGAGACTACCTGAGGTTAAGTCTTGACAGACAGGTCTCCAGGTACAGTTTTATCTAACAATGCATTTTAGACTCTAGGATCTTAAATTGGACTGGCTTCCTGCTCAGATGTTCAGCTTTCTGTTCCTAAATTGGGCAAGAACATCTTCTTTCTACTGAGCCTGACAACATGATGGAGTAGAGCAGTGCAGCTTTTAAATGTTTTTTTTTTTTTCATGTCTGGCTGACCAGTTTCCTGAAATATGCAGAGCTGATTAATGTGTCTGGTTAGTTTGAAAGCATCGTTTTGGGTGTCCAGTATCTTTACTCATTGTCAATCAGTCTGTTAATTCACATTTTTGAATGACAAATTATTCAAAATCAAAACATATAAAAATAAAAATAAATATCATGCCAATTGATTGTTATAGATTATATTAAAAGGCATTAAAATGAAATCATATGACAATTCATATTTGTTCTTTGTGTATATGTGTAATTAATCAAAGAAACCAAAGGTCAAAAGTAAAAACAATGTGGGATATGAATTTGAGTAACAAGGTGGATGTATGCAAAAGAAAGCACAAACAACTGCTTTACCTGAAAGGATAGCCAAAATCAATGTTGATGCTGAGGTTACTCTGCCTCCTGTCTGCACAGTCCACTTTAACCTGGAGATGACCATAGTATCCTCCACATGTTGCAAAAGCACATACGGCAAAAATCTATGAAAACAAAAGACAGTCATAAAGGGATCATAATACTGCATAATGTATACACATCAATAAATTACAGGACTGATTATCAAGATTTATAATTGGCTCGAAAACAAACCTGAATAATTCAAAGGTCGGAAGGCAACTAACAGAGCTGCTTACTGTGCGCTGGAAGGTGGCCACAGCAGTACACAGAGACTCAGTTTGAAGGTGTAATACACAAGTCTGAGGTCTCTAACTCATTATATCCATTAAGATTTACTCTCTGGCAACTAATTTAAATATATTTTTTCTTTACTTTTAAATATGAGGCACAAACCATACGGTCAATTTTCAATCACCAAATCATAAAATGGATCAAAAACATCAAAATCTCATTTCAAATTACCTCATTGTAATTTATACAACGCAGTTTGCATTATAAGTGGGGAGAAGCAGAAATCATGATAACCAAAAGGAATGGATGAATGAAGACAAGACAAGAGAAATGAGACTTACCGGAGCAAATATAACCATACACATTTAAAAATCACAGATTTCAAGTCCAATTCCACCGTGTCGACAGCGTTTGTCATCAGGTTGAAATGATACTGTTGTAGACAAGAAGAAGAGGGCGACTCTATCCAGCGGAGGGGAGGGCTGACAGGAGATAGCTTCCCCAGGGAGGAGTCTGAGATTTTCTTTTCATTTGTTCACAAACACTGCAATAAGCTGTAAATACCATCATTAAGTGAATGTGTGCGAATAGGTTGTTTACTGTTTTTGTAAGACTGTGATGCTTTTCTCTATATATCTTTTTGTTTTATCTTTTTTTTTTCTAATAGGGTTTCATCAGAAGCATGACACAAATAGAAAGATGTGCTGCAGCATTTCATTACTACAAATGAACCTCCAAATGTAGGGATTTTGACAAATTTTAATAAACTGAGGGATAAGGCATTGCTTTGCTGTGAATTAATAGACTATTTAAAAAGCCCATTGGAGTATTTGAAAATGTAAACATGGTCTCATTGGACACCAACGATTTCAACATATTAACTATTTAGCTTAAGACTTATTCATCATACCAATCAGACAAATTTGTTTCAAACTTTGCAGAACTTATATTGGGATTCTCATTAATCGAGGACATGGTTTTAGGATCAGGGTCCCATAAAAAACATGATGTGTCTTCTGCTAAGTAACAATTATTAACTGTGATTGAAATATTGTAATGCAATCTTTATATAGGATATATATCACTCATGTATGTTACTTAAATTACATTTTCTTTTCTAATGATTCACTGATGATTAGACTGTTTGCATTTGTTATAAAAAGGATTCTGCTGACCTCTTTTGGTGACAAATCTTTATTACAGATTTGGAGATGTGGAAAAGTTACAAATAAAGACATAAATGTCCATCTGCAGAATAAATCTCTGGTATATGGAGCTAATTTGGCTGTACAATATAACAACTGCTTTGGATGTCAAGTTATTAATGCTGTGTGTCAGAGCTCTATACTGCTGACTGTTAATGATCAGAAACCTGCACTCAAAAACATGATGTGACTGCAATGCATACAGTATAACATCAAGCTGCTTTAATATACTGAATTAACAGGATAAATATACTAAATAAGTAAACGGGCCACAGGAAACTCAAAAGTAATACAATTACAGCAGTAGCAGCCAACTCAAGATTAAAAACATGAATAACAATGACTTAAGTGTGTCTTGGGAAGGTATTTTTTTAAAAAGAAAGTGACTTTGACTTTCCCTCGGGCAGGCTTTTGATGTTAATGGCAAAATGACTGATCACATTTTCAGTGGCTGCGGTTTGGTTCATATGAGGTGAAAGGATTTGAAAGGTAGCTAGATGGCAGACTCGTAGCGTTTAGTAATCTCTTGAAATCAGTTCTGGAAGTGAGATACGAACTGCTGGAAAGGAGGCTGACAGGAACATTAAACTTGGGTAAAAATAGAGTTGATGACGACATTAAAAACCGTCCAATTTGGACAAAGATGTTAAAAGTTTGATTTTGGGTTCTTTTGTAATTTTCCTGTGAAAGAAATTCAAGGTTGTAAACAAACCAAATACAAATCCAATTTTGCTTTTTGACTGAGGCTGGTATGTAGGTAGGCTCAAATTAAAATAGTATATTCAATAATATGCTTGTTCTGTCGTGAATAACTCAAAACTACATTTCTGTAACATCCTTTATATGCAGTAAGGTTTTCAATTTCCATCCACAATAGGAAAAAAAAAACGTATTTTATTCTCTATTATGTATATAAATTTATTATTAGGTCTAGTTTTTTTTTTTGGGGGGGGGGTGTTAGCCTTTTTAATTGATAGAGACAGCTGAAGGTAGACAGGAAATGGGGGCAGAGAGAGGGGATGACACGCAGCAAAGGGTTGCAGGTTGGATTCAACCCTGGGCCGCTGCATCAAGGACTCAGCCTTAGTAGATGGGACACCAGCTCTACCAACTGAGCTAACGAGGCACCCGGCTCCTTGATTATTTCATTTGACAAGTTGCCCTTTTTACGCTTTACTATTTTAGTTTATATTGTGATCACATGGTATCACAAGTATTTCAGCTAAGGAGCACTGGCAATGGAGTACATACTGTTATAGTGCTCAGAAGGTGGAAGGTTGAAGGTCAGGGAAGGCCCAACAGCTTAGTTCAGTCATGTAAGAATTACAGTGATTTTAGCAGAAGAAATTGGAGATTTTTTTGTTCATATAGGTAATTACATGTTCAGACACATCCGTCTTCAGTATTTAGATTTAGGATTGACTCTAGAAAACAGTCATTAACCAGAAAATGCTGTTTGTGATGTATAATCATCAAGTAACTCTTTAAATAGGAAAAACTGTGATGTTTTAAATAAAATACAAATATTGCTGTGCAGATTCTCTCATCTGCTTTCAATTGAGATTGTGATATGGTCTAATATTCACATTGTTTGTAGTCTTGGTTTTTTAATCAGATTACTTTAACTGCTCTTTGATTATTCAGCCAACAGATGGCAGTACTTAGCTATTCTGATTGAGAGGTAAATCTCTGAAGCTGCAGTGAAGAGCTCTTCTCACTTTCTCACTGCATTTTGATCCTTCTTGTCTCTCCAAAATCCAGTTGACAGTTCTGTCTCCCATATGTTCAATAACCTAAATACATCTCAACTCATCTACTGTTGTGGGCACTGATTGGATGAATCGTATATTCCAGTTGATGAGAAGAAGATTGTGCTGGTCCAACAGCTGTAGGGTTTTTATCATGTTGAAGTGGTGAGGCTCCAGCCTCTCGCTGCATTATTAATGAATCTTTTTCTGGCATCATCTCCCCTCTCTACCCTGAAAACTGTGGGAGGAAGAGATGTGCATAAATCTGGTGGTTTTTATGAGGCCTCCACTTATCCTGAGCTGACACACGTGTACTTTCCAACAAGTTAATTTAGTGGGTTTTTTTTTATTTTTTTATATCTTGCAGTACAACCTGTGTCCCGGGCTAATTTAGAAGATGCAAAGATATAAGCCCCATAATTAAAGCTGAGTGTATGTAATGTAGGTTTGTTTAATAAATGGATCATTAGTGTATTCTGAAACTATAAAAATAAACTTTCAACTGTACATATAATGTATAAAAGTGAACTGAGAGTTAATTTTATTTATGTCTATCTGTATTTTGTGCAGTGAAATAAAGACGTGGGAAAATATTGCGCTAGTAAGTAGGAAACAATGCATTTCTACAGAAAAGGATGTAAAGAGAAATGTAAAACAGATGCAACAACAGACAGATGTGTCTGGGATGCCACGTCAAATTAGATCCAAGATTAATGTCAAGGAGGGAAAACTGAAATATCAGAACTCCATTTGCTATTTCTGCAGTTGTAAAAAAAAAACATGGGAGACTGTGTTATGTAAAAGGATTTGTAGAGATTGGTAATTTCTTCAAAACGGGCTTCTCCTTCCTCCTTAAGCGCCAATTACTATCCATCACGATTTAAAACTGTGAAGTATTTTGCTCGTCTGCAATCCATATATCAAGTCAATTTCACATTAAAAAACATCTGTTACAATGCATATCTTAAAATGCCAGTTACCCAGGATGTAAACACGTTCTTGGTGAAAATGTTGAGCGTCCTCATACAGTATTTGCTGGATGTGAAGCCCTCTCTGAGACGGCTGTAGTAGCTGCAGTGCTGACACTGACCCTATTCCATCAATCTCACATTAAAAACGCTCCCGGCATTTAAATATTTCAAAGAGCTCCTCAGCTAACTCCAGAGGAGCTCTGAGCCTCTGTGAGTGTGTGTGTGTTTGTGCATGTGTGTGTCACTTTCACTCTGACAAACCCTTTTTTAAACTGTTTTTAAAATGGAGCTGAACCTAGAGCTTATGACTGGTGACTAAACACTAACCTAAAGTCTAAAAAGAGGTATATAGATCTGAATGATACGAACTCAAGTGCACAAGATAAATGTTTCTGCATAAATAATCACATATTTCACACGTACACTCTATCACTCTTTAAGAATATATACTGAATAAAATAAACATCCTCTGTATATACATAGAATGGCAGGAACGATTTATAAATGAAGAGAACTAAGGCAGGGATGTCATGAATATACTATGATGCAGTTATTCTGCGATGTTTCAGCTGTGTTGCACTGTCATCACTGAGTGCTTTACATGTGCTGTCTGTGTCAACTCTCCAATCACATGACAGTGTGCACACATGCAGGAACATATCACAGAACAAAACATGACCCTGGTGTGCTTTAATTGGGTCTATTGGTGAGTTTTTTATGGATTTACATTTTCCATTGACCCCTTGTATTCTTTTTTAATTGCTTAGAGACAGGTGTGATGATAAAGTGAGGCAGTTCCCCATAGAGTATGACTACAATTAATAATGCATTTCTAGGATAAGGTCAAAGGAAGTTCAAATGATTCATCTCCAGGTTGAACTGATTAAACGGGTAATTCTTCAAATGGCTTCTTTTTTTCTATTAACATTTATTTGAGAGATATGTTACTATTTGTGAATATAGGTTGCTTTCAAGTGATCATGTGACTTAATATGACATGACCTTTTATTAAAGGGACATCACCTTAAATTTCATGAACATTGATATTCATTCTTTATCTTGGAAAAAGCAGTTCAAGGTTCATTTAGTAGCTGCTCTGGAGCTTTCAATTAGCATCACGTGATCTTCATCAGCAGATGGAGTTTGCCCAGTTGCCATTAAATTTTAGATGTTCATAAGCACTTTAAAGCAGCTCTATATTTTAGTATATTTTTGTCTGACAAAAAAAAATGGCCATTGTTTTTGTCTTAGATGCTGGTACTGCCTACTCCATTGACAAAACGAGTAATTTTGTAGATAATTGTAAAAACTTTAAAGTGAAAAGAAACAAAATGAAGCTGTTTTAGTCGCTCTGCTCAGTTGAAAATGGAGCCACTAACATGTAAGTGTTGCCAGACTGGATTTGTAAACAAAACACAGGCAAGCTGGGATAGCAACACAGGCAAAGTGAGTGGGACATCATTCTGCTGCTATATTAATGTTTTAAATGTGACCACTCAGTCATGTTGGCTTAAAAGCTAAGGTAAGTACAAAGTTCATTCTTGAC